TTGTTGTAACTTGCGTCACTGAGATTGTAACGAGTCATAATATTGCCCAAATTTTATTAGTAATGCGTTATATTACTGCGTTACAGCAAAAAGTAATATACTACTGTAATATTATTACTTTTGTAACGCGTTACTCCCAACACTGATATTAATATATCGTATGGTATACATCATTATTTCTAAATGGCATTTCTCCTTTAACATGTTCAAACCTAATCACACTGGTTTATAATGTCAACCAACATATTAGAGGCCATAAGCTAAAAATAACTGTTCTGTTTTGGTGCATCACTAGAGTTGCACACTCACTCTAGTTCTGGGGTCTTGCGCAACACAGGTCGAAGCATCTTCAGCTCTTCAGCCATGAAGTTGAGTTTCAGGTTTCTGAAGTGAGGACAGCAGTTCAGACAGTACAACAATGCCTAGCAGTCTGTCCTGCTCCGTGGACCCTGGGACATGTCTAAGTCCTGCCAAGCTTCCATAGTTTTCTGAACAATCTGCTTCTTGTGGAGTTCATAGAGACTGTGGAGAATGAAGGGCAAGAAACTGTAATCTCTTCTTGCGCTAACATGGAGGATCCATTCTTCCAACTGTGTCTGCACAAAGGAAGGGACAGACAGATTGTGCATCTCTTTGAGTGAATCGCACACTACTTTATTGGAGAGAAGAATAACCAGAAGTTTTTTTTTCCCTCCTCGAGTATGTGCTCCATATTCTCACTATATGATACTATATGTACCATAAAAGCCTGATGTATCAAATATGATACAAAACATAAAAAACATATGCAAACTTTTTTTTAACGTTTTGTCTAAGGGTTCAATAAATTGTTTCATTAAAAATATATATATATAATTGAAAGAAGAAGCTCGTGATTATGGTAAGGGGCGTTACATTTCCGACGAGTGCTTGCGGTATTCGGCCAATCACAATGCACTGGGTCAGCTGGCCAATCAGAGCAGACTGCGCTTGTCGGAAGGAGGGACTTTGTAGAAAACGAAGCATTTGAGAGAGGCGGGGCATAGAGGACCTACAATAATGTACAGTATTTGAAAAATAATGTGTTTTTTGAACATTAAAGCATGTCAACATATTCTGTTACACCAAATACAGAAAATAATGATCTTTAAAAAAGCATCATATGACCCCTTTAAGGCAGTATGACGAGTCCTGTGTGAGCTGGATGGCCTCAGGTAGGACGCCCTGTGAGGTGGCCACCATCCTGATGCTGTTGCTGTGGGTCAGTTTCCTCTCATACTGAAGCAATTGTCTCCAGAAGCCCGCGTTTGGCTGGATGAAGGGCCGTGCTCAGTGTTCGAATTATACCGTGGACATTGGGGGAGCCCACTTGTTTTTTTTTTTTGTGCGCTTGCGCGCGAATGAATGCTTACAATGACTTACAAAGATACATAACAGCTACAAGTGTACTTGCTTTATGCAAGCACTATATAGGATAAATCACTATACAGGATTAACCTATTATACTTTATCGACACGTATTGATAGGTGAAACAACAAACAGCCACCCACAAATAGTCTATAAACAAAGCATCAGGCTGTCTTTGAGTTCACATGAACAACGGTTAAAGTTACTTGTCGTCAGGCTACAGAAGAATACCATAATTCCTCCGTTCAGTTAGGCCTAAGCCATCGAGAGTCACGCAGACCTATAACAACCCAGCCACAACACATAATTGCGAATAACATGCCGTACCTTAACACAGAATCGACCAGAGTCCAACGTTTATATTTTTTCTACGAATCCTTGAGGTAACGTACTACACATGAGTGGAATTTGCACCGCTGCGCCCCCACACCTTGATGCTCATGACAAGAACAGCATGCATTGTTATCTTTATTGAAGTGAATTAGTTTTAAATCGCCGTCGTGCATGAATGAATGATGATGACTTTTGTCCTCTGTAGAGGACATTATATTTTAGTGAATTTCTCTGAGACCATACATGCCACAGTTTTAAGTCTGGATGTCCTGTACGGAGCACATTCAGGGCTTGTTAGGGATATCAAATGTTTGGAGGTTTGATCATAAACACTCCCTCTATTTGGTCTTTAATAGCCTATGACTGATATTGACAGAATTATCAAATTTAGCACTCTTAGGGAAATATGATAATGTTTTGTAATTATCATTTAAATATGGCTAATTTTCAAACTGTTTGTCGTAAATAAACATCTCAGAAAAACGTTATGGGGTTTCAAATCGGAATATGACATTTTGTTATGAAACACAGCAGGGCATAATTTTCATGTCTTCTGTAGAGGACACCAGGACAAATGGTATTTGGGGGAAAAACAAGTCAATAGGGAAATTATAGATCAATATTCCTATGAAATGCGAGATATTCTTATGAAAATTTTTCCAAGTTATTCTCCCATTATTACACTTGTTTTTTTCATTATGGTTTGCCCCAAGAACACATTAATATGCAAACTAGATGCAATGTATAGAATACCAATTTATGGACATTTTACGCACATATTCCATAAAGTACAGTAGTATATCAAATCATTATGTTATATCTTACATAGTATAATCATCTTTGTACGAAGTTTGGCTAAAAATAGCCTGAAACCTAAAAATGTATTGGTGAATGAAAAAAATAAAACACTGTTTTTGCCTATACATGCCTTTTCATGTCTATTTATTTATTTTTGAATAACTTAGTCCTGGCGTCCTCTACAAAGGACATAGAATAAAATATATGTTTTCTCCATTTGTTTCTAATGCTCCAACCAATGTAATGACATAAAAAAAAATTCACAAAAGTTTTTTCTGATTCTCAGGATAATATAAAAACAACATCCAAAAATAAAACTCACCAGTGACCCCGTCTTTCCAAACCTTTAAAATAAATAAAAATAACTATTTAACTAAATAAACATGTTTTTTTTATTCCAATTTAATGTAATTATGCTGTCATGCTCCAAAATCGAGAGAGCAAAAAAAACAAAACAAAAAACTAATTACCTTTACATTTTTTTCCCTCCACCTTTTTAATTTAGTGACAATAACAATGCAACTGTTCTCAAATATAACGTTTTTATATTTTAGTGATATACATTTTTAATGTGTGAATGGCAAAAGAAAAAAAAAATCTTTGTCATCTACATGAATATCGAATGCGTGATCACCATGTTGTAGACTTAAGTCATGATGCAACAGATATTTCTCGTTTTAAACAAAGACAAAGTACCCCCCCCCCCCCCCCCCCCAAAAAAAACACAAGACAGACACATAATGTTTCAGAATATTGTTTTAATCACACATACTTGTCATGCAGTTCATCCAGAAAGAAAGTGTCATCAGTAATTTCATCCCCTCTCACTCTTTTCCTTCAACCAGAATCTTCCAAAAAACACCTTGTACTGTTGGAATGATCCAGCGCCTTTGTCCATTGGTGGAATTCTCTGTCAATAAGTCATGGAGTTACTATTACACAGTAATAAAAAAATTTGCTATTTTTTATTTTAAGTTTCATTAAATGTGTGGCATTCCCCATGAATGTAAATTAATTATCCTTCATGCACTGAAAAGGGAAGAATTTAGGGCTAATAACACAACTGCCCTCTTAATGGTCCTTGTGACGTCGCTTGAAGATACAAAACACCCAGAAAGTGATACAGTTGAAAGTGATACTGAAGGTTGTCACGTCCTGTAATTCACAATTCATAAGCATTTATCAGGAGTGTAAAGTCTAAACAATAATATTTATGGCTAGCTTGAATAATAATGATCCAAATTAGAACTTGTGTCCTCCACACACACACAAAAAAATCGAACTTAAATTCAAATCAAGCAACAAATGTCTGCAATGTCCTCAAGGAGATGTAAGTTATTAAGGTATGAAACATAAGCCCGTGCACAGCAATATTCTGCTAAACTGATTGGCTGATCAGTAACAGTGGCAGAGCAAGCAAGCAGAGATTTCACATGTGGACTTCTACAGATGTCAGCTGACCACTTAAACATACAAGTCCAAATACAAAATGATGTATTGGTGAGGATACAGGCAGAAAAAGTATGAATAATACACACAGGCATCTTAAATACAGACATTAATGACTCTTAAAATAAGAATTTGGATATGCACAATGTGAACTGTGTGAAAAGCAGGACAGGACAACCTTCAACTGTTTAGCTAAAACAACAACAACGACAACAAAAATGAACAATTAGCCTTTGCAATCATAAGTTTACATTGAGATGCTTCCAGCATTAGCCTGCTGTGTAAGGCCTGGTTACTCATGTTTACACTCCTCTCCACCTTCCCCTTTAGAACCATTAGTTACTACAGAAAGTAAAACCCATTGGGTTTCAGAACTGAATCTGTTTAGAGCACTTTCACACAGCAATATCTGAGTTTGTAGTGATACAGGCGATTTGCTGCAGAGCGCGCTTGGATATTCTCTATTCAGGGATTTTTTATTCAAGCTTGCTGCAGTCTAGACGCTGACCCGTATGAAGTCAAGCCAGGAGCGAGGATGAGAGGGCACTGTTACCAGAGTTGCCCATATACCACACCATGTTACAACACAGTAGGGCTATTGCAAACAGAAACAATACTGTACTACATCGATGTTTCCTGTCGGCTCAGTTTTTGAGTGGACTTCTGTTCCGATTCGCATAAACGATATTCGAGTGGAGCGACTGAGCGGAGCGCACACACACAGAGCGGGATAATACACAGACCGTCACACCACGTGAAAGTGAAACCTGAGGGGTGAACTCATTTTCGGCAGCCGGAATTTCGGTGCATCTCTAATTATTGGCGACATCAGAAATGGATATTATATAATAGATGCTTTTTTGAACATTTTAGCAATTTAAAAATATTAAAAAAATGATTTTTTTTTTACATGGCACCCCTGCTCTCGACAGACGGCACCCCGGTTGGGAAACACTGCTTTAGATGACCAACAGAAACCAGGGAAATTTGGGTTTCATAAAGAGATTCATAAACGTTTTCGGCAGTTCGACTGCTACAAGAAGGGAGATGAATAGAACTGACTGTGTATTACATACGTGAGCTCGTGTAGTTTGCGGCTCTTGTCCTGGTCAGTGGATTTGAGTTTCTCATGTTCTACCCTCAAACGCTCCTGCTCCAACAAGATCTTCTGATTCAGACTAGAGAGAAAGAGAGAATTTATTAGCTATTGGTGTATTATTATTAATACTGCTGTAAATCAAGAGCTGCAAGTCTGATGGAAATCAGTCAGTCCATTTACACACACTTTAGTTCAGTTTCTGACTGAAACGGCTTTATGTTAACTGAAATGTGTGTATCGTACTCTTGTAGATCTGTAATGAGTTTCACTTTGGTTTCCAGTTCGTCTCTCAGGCTGCTGATCTGTTTCTGATGGGTCTCCCTGTGACTCTGGATCTGCTTCTCAACCGCCTCCTAAACACAAACACGCATAAAAAAAAAAAAATACACATCCAAATTGAACAAGCCCATTTGTATGTGTACACATTTCTTACCTTCACTTCATTGGCACTCTGAATCTCACTCTCTTTCTCCATTGCATGAACTTTCTCTGTTGCCACAAACACAAACCAAACATTGGAAGCAGAAACAACTACTGTATTATTTTGAAATAGCGTATATAGATGCATAATCTGTTTTTGAATATGATCCTGTGTGTACCCTGTGCATTGATTTTGACCAGTTCCTCATTGAGAGAGTCCACATCCTCCTCAAGCTGTCTCCTCTTCTGCTCTACATTCTGCAGATACTCCGTCAGAGATTTAATTTTCGCCTCATGCTGCAAAACAAACATTCATTTGTTAATATCAAATATTTTTTTATTTATATCATTATGGTTTAGTACATTATAGTGCAGGGTTTGCCATGTTAGAAATAACTGAGTTTCAGGAGGAAAGAGTGTAAAACCGTACCTGGGAGATGAGTAACTGGCATGCTGCAAGCTCCTTCTCAGTTTCATCCATCTTTTTGTTGCCTTCAGACTGAGTGTTTTCCAACTGCTTGCAACGTTTGACCATCGACTTGACTTCTGACTTCATCTTACTGATGTAGAGTCTGGCTACAGTGAACTCTTCGTCTATAAGACCACTGCCTTCATGCTGCTGCAGAGAGAGAGACTCCTCAGTATCGCTCAGTTTTAAGTGTTTATTGTTCCGTTTTGACTTTTCTTTTTTCTGTTTTGACTTAGCATTTAAAGGGATAGTTCACCCAAAAAGGAAAATTAGCCCATTATTTACTCACTCTCAAGCCATCCTAGGCGTATATGACTTTCGTCTTTCAGATGAATCCAATCGGAGTTATATTAAAAATTGTCTTTGATCTTTCAAGCTGTTTAATGGAAGTCAGCAGGTGTTGCAGTTTATCAGTCCAAAAGAAGTGAAATAAAGCGCATCCATCCATAATAAAAAGGGACTCACACAGCTCCGGGGGGTGAACAAAGGCCTCCTGTAGCGAATCGATGCATTTTTTGTAAGAAAAATATCCATATTCAAAACGTAATAATCACTTTAATCTAGCTTGCACAAACAGTTGTACACAGAAGCAGATCCAGGAGGATGACGCAAGATGTCGGCATAGCACATGCGCCAGTGAGTCTCGTGAAAACCAGCGTTTGTATACAGGAGCAAAAGAAGCAAAGTTTCCTTACTTTAGCAAAGGAAAACCAGTCTCCTCTTGGCATATATCGAAATCCTCCGACATTCTTCTTTACAAATCCTCATTTTGTACTTCTAATTCGTGACCGTTGTTTTGTTTTGATCTCTCCGCTGCGCTTCTGCGTGCATCACTTCTGAGCAGCGCATGTGCAACGCCGAGGTCTTACGTCATCCGCCCGGAACTGCTTCCGTTTACAACAGTGAGCACAAGCTAGATTAAATTGATTATTACGTTTTAAATATGGTTATTGTTCTTACAAAAACGCATCAATTCGCTACAGGAGGACTTTGTTCACCCCCCGGAGCCGTGTGAGGCACTTTTTATTATGGATGGCTTTTTTCCCCCACTTATTTTGGACTGAAGCACTGCAACACCCACTGACTGCCATTAAACAGCGTGGAAGATCAAAGACAATTTTTAATATAACTCCGACTGGATTCGTCTGAAAGAAGAAAGTCATATACACCTAGGATGACTTGAAGGCGAGTAATTCATGGGCTAATTAAGATTTTTGGGTGAACTAACCCTTTCAAGTTTCATACACAAATCAATTAGTTATGGTTATTAAAAATACTAAAGAAGCTAAACAATAATCAATAAAAGGCGAAGTGTATAATTGTTTGTTAAACTCTATTAATAGATTTGTATAAACATTTTATTGATACAGATACTTGATTTAACAACTACAATAAGTCATTCATAGGTGGGTCATTCATACCTTTACCTTAAAAAACCTATATGTGTATCACTCACCTTGATGTCATTGTTGCCCACAGCAATGCCAATCTCAGTCAGATCTTTGAGCAGTGACGACATCATCTCAGTTACTCTCTTCTTCTGGTGATTGGCCATTTCTTTCAGTTTCTGCAGCTCTGAGTCTATAGACGCCAGGATACTCTGGAATGTTTTAAAGTCAAGTCATTCTTGTCATAGCAGGCCGAGTGTAGGTAAAATACTGATATATAATTAGCCCTTCTGGCACTTACAGATTTCTGACCAAGTTCTTCGCTGAGGGCTTCAAACTCCTTGGTTTTGTCCTCCACCTCCTGACTTTTCTGGTCGTAGTTGACAGCGAGCTCCTCCAGGGCCTGCAGCACCTCCTTCCCCTCCTCTTTAGACGCCTCGTTCTCCAGCTGTAAACGAGTCAGTTCTGACTGCAGGTTATCATGGTCTCTTCGTGACGAGGCCAGCAACTGCAAAACATATGCAAAAACATAGAACAAGCATGAATATACAATGTTTACTTGTTAATACTCTTTTACGCCAATTTCTCATGTGTACACGAGAGCTCACTAACCTCTTCCTGGTCCAACATCTGCTGCTTGAGCTTCTCCACCAGCTGAGACTGCTGATTAATCTCTTCATCCTGGAGAGAGATGAGGCGCAAAACACAAGTTCAGTCACCTTCTTTAGGAAAAATCACCATGCTTTTATTCTTCTAACTGTGACTGTAGCAACTATGACTGTAGCAACCAGGGTGTTTTTGAGAATTTTAAAAGAAATTAAAGAAATTATGAGTGTATGACAGTGACAGTGACGTGACATGTGGCCAAGTATGGTGACCCATACTCGGAATTAGTGCTCTGAATTTACCCATCCAAAGTGCACACACAGCAGTGAACACACACACCGTGAACACACACCCGGAGCAGTGGGCAGCCATTTATGCTGCGGCGCCTGGGGAGCAGTTGGGGGTACGGTGCCTTGCTCAAGGGCACCTCAGTCGTGGTATTGAAGGTGGGAGAGAGCACTGTACATTCACTCCCCCCCCACCTACAATCCTTTGGGTTACGAGTCCGACTCTCTAACCATTAGGCCACGACTTCCCCCATGAATGAGTATGGGGGAATGAGTATGTGGGTATGAGTATGTGTGTACCTTGTCATCAAGCTGCTTGTAAAGTTTGGTGAGTTCAACCTCACATTTTTCCTTCTCAACATTGTTGAGTCGAGCCCCGAGCATCCCTGGCACGGGCGGCATGCTTGGTGTGGATGCAAATTTATCATTGTTAATTGTGTTATCCAGCGCCAGCACTTCAGCATTAATCTTCTCCTTATCAAACTGCTCCTCTGCAGGTACGGTTTCACCTGCGGGACACAAACAGAGAACTCTGAGGAAATGCAAACGTGTACTTTCAAAAGTTTAAACCTAATTAAAATATTTTAGGACTTTGAAAAATGTTAAAGAAAAGTTAATGACGTACAATGAATAATATCAATCATTTAAGATACAAAAATGCAAAACAGAAGCATTTCACAGCACAGCAAAGTTTTGAATGCACCGAGAACACAACTGTATCACAAATGTAAAAATATTATAATAACATATATAATAATCAAAATAGGCATCTGACCATTTCTCCAGCGGTTGAGTTCGTTCTCCAGCCATGTGACAGTGTTTCGAAGACTCTTGTTTCGTTCTTTCTCTCTCTCATATTTCTTCTTCCATTGCTCAGCTGTCAGCTCTACATTCAAACTCACTGTGTTCTTAATAGTTTTGGCTCTGCAAACACAAACCCAATCACAGCTGTAAACAGGTGTCTTTCTCCACACAATCGTTGCATAAATACATAGAGTTGTAATTATTCTTGCATAAACACATAAACAAGTGAGACCAGTGACCCCTTTATTATGAATGGTGAGAACAGACAAAGTGACAGAGCTGAAAAGCATGAATGTGTCTCCTCACCTCTGTCCGAACATAAGGGTGGATTTGGTCTCGGACTCGTTGTATGAGGAAGGAGAACAGCAGATGACGATGGTGGTCCTGCAGTTTCCACCCAGAGAATCCTGCAAGATCCTTGTCATTTTACTGTCTCTGTATGGAACGTATGTCTGAGAAAGAAATAAAGAGAGATTCAGGATAAAATTAGATCGAATATTAATAAAGAAGATTTAAATGTATAATGAAGTTCCATGATGAAGTACATGTTAATAAAGTTCCATGACCACAACTGAGGAGGGGATGGTGAAAAAAAAAAAAAAAAAACCTTTGTTCAAATCTGAAAACGGCATCAAAATGAAGATCAATTAAAAATGACAAATCCCTATTGTCAACTCAGCCCTAGTCTCCAAGTAGCTGACATGTTAATCCGTTATAGCTTATCCACATCGTGTGCATGGAATAGACAATTACAGTCAAAACACAGCATCAGAAAAGCGCTAATTGAACGTCACTGTTTTGGTCAATTGTTTCCGCCCTACAAACCTGTTTCAGCCGAAACCGAAAATTAACTAATTATACTATATTATTTTAAATTATCTTAAATTGTATTAAATTATACATTCATTATGTTACATTATATTGTCCTTTGGTTATGCACAAGTAGCATTATTGGTCATACCGATAAAGAACAGCAAAACTGAAATGGACAAAGCTAAAGTGAATCTCTGAACACAACTCATACACATTAGCCTCACAGCTCCAGGACCTAAACGCTACAAAACAAAGAGTGTACAGAACTGATCTAAAGCCTGTGAGCATATGCATCTCTGTGTGTGTGTGTGTGAGAGACTCACCGAGCCCTCGGCTAAGGCCGATATCACATTGCCCAGCGACGACAGAGACTTGTTGATATTTTTGGCTTCATCCAGTACAGCACCTTCAGCTCCTGTTTTACTGACCTGTGAGAGAACACAAAAGTTTAACACACTCAGCTCATGTTTTACTGTACTACAAGACAAATTTGACACACACACACACACACACACACACACCTTCTCGCTGCCTGCCAAGTCGACCAGGAAGAGTTTTCCACTGAGCTTCTGTTCTGTCTGCGTGTTCTCCTGCTTCACATTGATCAAGAAGATACTGTGACTCCTGGAGCTGTGTTCATTCATGTCTGAGACACACACAAAGACATTATTAACAACACTAAACCCACATAACATTGTTTACAAGCATCAGCTCAAATGAAGGATGCAGATGGTACAGTTTCCTCATAGGATCTGGTTTAGTCTATTTATGGAAAGGTACTTATATTTTATTCTCTTTATTGAAAATATGTATTCTCTATTTTTGTCTGTGCATTCATACTTGTCACAGCTACATGTCTGTTGGATTTTCCCTCGTCAATAGTGTCCATCACTTCCTCTGGACTGCAAACAAATCGCTCAGTGCAGCCCTAAAACCAGGAAGACACACAATTATAATAAATTACTTACATTCTTTAAAGATCAGTGGTAATTGCCACTTTGTGTAAGGATTTTAATGGGACACTGGAACATTGGTGACACAATGATGGGACATCAGGTTCCAGGAACTCACCTTGACATAAGGAACCCTGTTTTTGTCTTCATGTACAGATAAATTAGTTTTTGAAACTACAAGACAACGAGAGAGAGAAAGAAAGAAAGAGAGAGAGAGACATTACGTCACAACAAGAGCAGCTTTATAGTTCTACTACCTTTGAATTATAAATAATCTTAAAAGCATTTTTTAATTATGTTCAGATCAAGCGGCTAGCAAATGTGAGGCTTTAAACAGCCACCACACTCACCATCCAACAGATCCCGAATCTTATCCAGATAAATCTCATAATATGACACCTGCCAAAAATATAAAATAATAACACCATCAAGAGAGCAGATACAAACATGAAGCAATATGTCAAGCTTTTAAAGAATAAGAAGACAGACAGTTAATAAAATAGTGTGTGACGGTAAAGTCTTACTTTAATGTGGAACTCCAGATTTTCATCCATAGAGTAAATGTAATTAAAGATGTCTTGCACTATTCTGGGAATGATTCCCATTGCATCTGTGTCATGAAGATTTCCCTAAAGAACAACCACAATATCGCTCATTCATAAAAGTAGAATAAACGTTGTGTAAAGACACCTGTTTGCTCCATTACATTGTTCACACTACAGCTCAAGAGTTTGGTCAGTAAAATGTATTCTATATATATATATATATATATATATATATATATTTTAAATATATATGTATATCTAGCAAAATATACAGAACCAGCACCAGTTTTATCAGAATAATTTGATTAGTTGAAGAGTAGCATTACATTTTCTTATTTTGTACCATTAAATAATATCTTTACTGTCACTTCTGTCAATTTAATGTGTCCTTGCTGAATAAACGTATCAATTAATAAAAAAAAATCGTACTGACCCCAAACATTTGTATACTGAATACCTTAAGCCTCAATCAAGTAGCTGCTTTTACATCATTTGTATTGTATAAATGTACCTATTATACTATTGTATAAATGAACTTGACTTTTCAAAGCCAGTTGACTGACCAAAAATGAAAGTACATTTGACACATGAACCTAATAGATCTTCCACACATAAGGTATGGGGAAAATATTCATATTTACATGTGATTATGTAAAAGTGTTTTGCACAGAGATATGTCAACTGTATTTCTCGCTCACCTCCATTGTGTGCGTTTTGCCCGAGGATGTCTGACCATAGGCGAAAATGGTTCCGTTATAGCCACCAAGTACATCTGTTGGAACATAATCATGCTCAAGACTTATTCCATGTTCTGCCTTTTGCTTTAATTTAGAGGTCTATTAAGTGACCTTTTTGGTTTTACCTTTGACAATTTGTTGAGCGCAGGCCGTGTACACTTGCTCCTGAGTGGTGTTGGACTGGAAAACTCTGTCAAACACATACGGTTTACCCTGTGGAGAAAATAAAAATAAATATAAAATTAAGCGCATTTAGGACAAGTACCATTAGATCATTGAATACAAGAATTTGTTTTTAGGATTTCAAGAGTTACTGTGACAAAACAAGCAACAGCCTGAATTGTTACAAAATAAACTGCTTGGATTGATTGATCAGCTGACAAGAACTGAAAGTGAGAGTGAAGATTTGTACAACTAATTTGTACAATTAATTAAAAACACGAGCTTGAATGTAAATGACATATACTACTGTATCAAAGGTCTCAAACCATTAATTTACTGGCTCCTAGTTTTTTGTCACAACAATCATCAACCTTTGTGTTTTGTACTTAGTTTTGGTAGACAGTTTTGGCAATTCTCAACATAAACAAGTCACAAACTACAACTTAAAGCAAATCCTACTGCACCATATATATGCTGTTCTACTGTAAAATAATTTACAGTAGAAATATATTAGACTATTATTGCATAATAATACTGAGTAGAATACTATTAATAAAATAATCAACATTACTTTCAATATATTAAAATAACTATTACTAAAATGTGGTATTCAGGTTTGCTGGGATTAAAACACTTAAATGGACCAAAAAAAATATATCTAAAATATTCCTAAGAATGTCAGTCTACACCAATGTATATTTGATTAAATTTATTCATTTAGCAGATGCTTTTATCCAAATCAACTTACAAATGACGTAAAATTAAAAAAATGGAAAATACAAGTGATTTATCTTAAAGGTCACATATTATACACCTTTCTGGAGTTTTATTTTAGGTTTTGATGTCCTTAAGAATATATATTTGCAGTATAAGTACCAAAAACTTTTTTATATATTTTTACAGCTCCTTTCTCAGTAGCTCTGCTTAGAATAGGTCGATTTTGGCCTGTAAATAGAAACACCTGTAATGATGGCCACTGCTGAGGGAAATGTTTTCCAGCCTTACATGTTTGAGCCGGACTCAGACCCCAGGATGGAAGGATCACGATGCCAGCTCAACATCGTGAAGTCTATCAGCCATCGGCGATGGATGATGGCATCGTCTATCCACCCAACCCTAGTTCAGAAGCCTGTGCAATGATGTAGTTTCCTGACATCCATCGACTAAACAGTGTTTTCTTGACATATTTCCGTGTTGTTGTTGCTCAGCAATGGCATGGATGCGATGTTGTCTGGGGGTTTGGCAAAAGGAGAGTGGGACTGTGGGCAGTGCTCAGGGTGACTGTGTAGTTCTGACGTCACCTTTTTACGAAAGTCACAACGGCTCGTGAAAAGGCACAGCTACTTTATGCAGGCTGTGTGCATTTGTCTGTGGATTGACGGTTTTGAAACTTATTTGACAATATAATACCTTTAAGCCAAGGCTGTTTACATAAACGTAAATTAAATAATACATTTTATTGCAAGTATAACTTTAATGTGAATAAATTATTTCTTAATGTATAATTTTGCAAATAATAAAAAAGACAATTAAATGAAGCATGACCATTTAATTATGTTTTATTAAGTTTTCCAGTTGGGGTGATAGTAGCTTAATGGTTAATGATCTTTGATACCTTGTTTTATCAGAGCAATGTCAAACCATAAGTGTGCAAACACTGCACTATTATTGCAGGTTAAGCATTGGGTCCCATATCTTTACTGTGACAAGAAGCAGCCTACCTAATTGTTTAATCATCAGTTCAATGATAGATTCACTTAATCTTATTCAAAGAAAAAAAAAAAGTTGATGAATACTTTATCAACTAAATTAAGCCTAGCCCAAACAAGATGCAAACCTCTGTGGAATATGCCAGCAATTCAGTATTATTACCAATCAATATGCTATAGTATGGCAAAAATAAGGGACTCATTTGATAGATCAGGATTAAATGACTGCCTTAAGATGACCAAAGTCTAGAGGGAATTATAGCGGAAATGTAATGTTTAACAGCTTTTCACGAGCATTCCACTGGTTTACAGACTCTTTAACATGTTTTTGCTGTGGCTGAAACTCTCTAAAATGTGCAGTGGGGGAAGACTAGTGACTGCCACTAAACACGTTCAAATAATACATGTTCCTGTACTCATTCAGTTTAACAGCAACCTGTCCATAATGCACAAGAGATCAACCTGTACCGCTGATTTATAAGTGTTCAAAACACATTTTAATCAGTTTTGCATTATAGTGACGTTTTGACACTATAACAAACTAATAATACAACAATTAAATAAACATATTATTATTAACAAAACAATAATTTATATGATTGTTAATGCATTTAATAAAATCTGTATCTAATAAAAGTACTGTTGCAAACATATTTATATATTTGTTTTATGAACGGATAATGAAGTAGAAAAGTGTCAACATCTGTGAAACAGATTATCAATTTCAATCTACGACGCACATCATGATGCTTGGCCATCATGTACTCTTATGCTTGGCCTGAACACAATACTGATACAGAACCAAGGCCAGTCTCTTGTGAGAAGAGAAAAAATTCCCAGAGTTCTGATTGAGGCACTTTCTTACCTAACTATTTTCTCATCTCACTTAGACACAGAGTCCCAGGGGTAGCGCAGGGTGGAGCGCTCTCTATTTCCAAATCATTATCTCACCTTCCTTCTAGTGCTTACACACACTCTTTTCATTTTTTTCAAATTACTGTGGATAAGCCTGAAGGAGTCTCCAATTCCTGGGCATTCTCTCACATTATCTTCATACACACACACAAGAGGACCATTAAGAGAGCGAGCAATGAACAAAAACAAACATATCCATTTCAAAGCCATCTTTCAGGAACTAACACACACTGTAAGCAGACAGGAATACCCAACCCTTAACAACATAATAAAAGATCTGTGAAATTGAAGAGGAAATACAAGAAAAACTGCTCTATGAAATAATCATTATTTACTTTAAAAGGGATGGTGGTCACCTGTATGATTCAGCTTGCCACATGGCATGTTTGTTTTCAAATGTCATTCATCATGCCATAGTTTAGTCAGCCATAGAAAAAAATCTTCAGAGTTTATGACATATAGACTGTCATGTTTGAACTGGGTTTAAAGATAATCAAAGCACAGTGACAATGATTAATCAATTCCCCACCCACAAATACACGCAGATGTCAGTGCAACTCTTGAGTTTCTGCACATACGGATCATCAGCATTTCTACTTGGTCCTTTTAAATGTGTTACATTCAGGTCTTTGGTTTAATATAAGCCTAGTTATATATTAACAGGTATATGTGCTAGAAAAAGAGGTATAACCAAGCTTCTGTTTTCATTTTACAACCTCATGAGTCATGTCCAATTTCACCTTTCATTCACACCCTTTTTTTTTTTTTTTTAAATGTGACTCCTGATGTTAAGAAGAGCAGGAGTTTTCAAACAAAGTAGTCCAACAAATTTGATGGGTCACAAAAGGGGTGTGTGGAAAATGAAATTATATTTAGAAAATTGTACTTAAAAATGTTTATGTAAGGTTATATAGAAGAAATACCGTATCTACTAAAAGTAAATATTTTCCAAATAATATTTTAATGATTTGCTTAGATTTTAGTACAGTAACAACCTAAAATTCAGCTAATTTACAAAATAACATATGGTATTTTCTGTTACAAAATCACACATTTTCACACACATCCATTAATTGTTATTTTCATGAATACAATTTTTTTATTATTATTTAAAACAGCTACCTTTTAGTAAGAGAGGCCTAAGCGATTGGGAACATATTTGGTGGTCCTAGATATCGAACCGTTTGAAAACATTCCTGATATAGATTTTCTCTCAGTATTTACAAACGCCCACAAATACGGACAGTTTCCTGCTCATTCAACAAATATCCACACCCCAACTTACAATTATAGGTATAAAATAATAAACTAAACCTACAATGTGCAACCACTACATATCTTAAACGGAGTAAATAAATAAAATAAGTTTTTGCTGTCCTTAAAGTGTAAAACTAACTGTGTTTCCGCGTTGAATGTGCAGGGCTGGCTAACACGGTTAGCATGAAGCTTATGAGGAAACGACATTGAAATGAACTAAATTAACATTTATGTCGGCATTAAACGGTCAGTTTCGGGTGTCACCGGACCGGATGCAGAGGCTGGTTTCGGTGTCAAATATTCAGATTAACAGTTCGTGCCAAATTCTGGTTCTGATGGACTGCGGTCATTAGCATTAGCCGCTCGCGCGAGATCAACCGAAAAGTAAATGATACAAAATAACTCCGTCCCAAAATGTCACTCACCGCGATCACGATGCTGTCCTCTCCCTGAAATTTGGCTACGTATTTGTCCCCCCTCGTCACCTCCGAGCTATTCAACGGCCTGAAACGGCACATAACTTTAATGGTGCACTCCGCCGGGTCCGCCATCTTCCCCCGGTTACCGAATCACGAGAGCACCGGCCAGAACACACGGATACAGACACGGCCGGAGGGGTGGGGACAACGCCTTGCTCCAAAGTCCCGGCCTGGGTTGTTGTTTCCCGGCCCGTGTGACTACAGAAAGAGCCGCGTTGGAGGATCACCTGGTCTCCGGCTCGGTGACGTCACGTCACACTCGTCACCGTCACGGAGATTAACAGAAGAATAACAATGAGGACAAAATTATAGATTATTATTTGGTAAACTCAAAAGATATAATTGCCTAATAATAATGGACAAGACCACAGGAACCAGATGAGTCCTCTGCACAATGTGACATTGCTGCAGCCTGGAATTGAACTGCTGGTTTCGTCTGGTCAGAGGAGAACTGGCCCCCCGACTGAGCCTGGTTTCTCCCAAGGTTTTTTCCCCATTCTGTCACCGATGGAGTTTTGGTTCCTGGCTTGCTTAGTTGGGGACACTTCATTTCCAGCGATATCGTTGACTTGATTGCAAATGATTGCAAAGATACTATTTAAACTGAACTGAGCTGGATGATGACATCACTGAATTCAATGATGAGTCTTTAACTGAAAAATTAACTATTTTCATTTTGCATTATTGACACACTATTTTCTTAATTAATGCTGTTCAGTTGCTTTGACACAATCTGTATTGTTAAAAGCGCTATATAAATAAAGGTGACTTGACTTGACTTAATAACATAAAATTCACCCCCCCCCCATTTTTTTTATTTTTATTAAAATTAAAATTAAAAATGACACTAAATTATATTGATAATCCATTTTTCTTAGTTATTCTGCTGTATGTGTTTTGTTACAATTTATCTGTGATCATCTTAATGTATTTACAATAACATTTTATTTAATATTTTGTGTCCATTTTTTTCATTTTTTAAATTTTATTATTTGCATTTCTTCATTCAATGTTTTCTTACTTTTTTACTTCCTATCTTTAGTCATTTGCAATTTCTCGTCAGTAAAACTGTAGTAAAAAGGAGGGGGGGGGGGCAAAATTTTCTCTGCTTTTTATGTTTATTGAAGTAAAATCTTGTTTTAATGTTGATCACACTTCCATCTGTTTTCATTCACAGTGTTTCATAAACAGAATGAACAGTACATCTTCAACTGCAAGGTTGTTAATTCATAACTGTGATGTCATATATTCAGATTCCAAAGGCCTAAATAAATGACATTATGGCCTTTTGTTCGCTCATGTTTTTATTTACAGCATGCATTATGACAGTATATTATTTGTGCCATTGGTTACAATGAACACTGTTGTTATTCTTTCACCCTTACATGAACCATTATTAGCTTAATGTGATAAGGTTTTTACTTGTATTTTTATTGATAATATCACATGCAGCACTATATGACTTTGTATCATCTATTTTGTGATATCACACAGTTTCACTGATCCATAAACTCTAAACCCAGCATAGAGAGGCTGAGTGAATGTGGTGTGGACTCTGTGAATGAGGGTCCTTGTGTCAGAGACGCTGTAGAAGGACAGAGTTCCTGCACTGTGATCCACATACACTCCTATTCTAGAGGAGATGGAGACCTCAGTGAGCTCAGTCTCAGTGTAATTGTGACAGAATGAGTATTTGCAGTAACTGGAAGGAAAGCAATACAAACTCCAGGACTGATCATTATATCCAAATGCACATTCATCACCCCGTCCCTTCCTGCTGATGCTCTTATATGACACTGATATACACACTCCTCTCCCACTCCACTCAACCTCCCAGTAACAGCGTCCACACACACTCTCTCTACACAACACCTGAGTCAAACTATCAAACTATGTCTGGATGATCAGGATATGACTGGTCTGTGTTAGTTTCAGTAATCATTCTGTTCTCCTCAGACAGACAGAGGTATTTATGCATTGTGTTTTCATCCAGCGTGAACCGACGGTAATCTGAAAGAGATAAAACACATAAACTGCTTCTAAATCATCTTAAAGTTACTGACATTAGATGGCATGATTTTCATTTTTTTGTGCACATTTTTCTTTTATCCCCCTTTTGTGCGTGTTGTCATTTTTACTTACATTGTAGAAACTCCTCCCTTTTCTTGGGTTCGGGGGTGGATATAAACTCGATGTATTTTACTATGAAAATCAACAGACACTGAGTGAATGAACAATATTAGTTTAATATGAAAGAAAAGAGAACATAGTATGTATGTATCCCATATATGTTTAATATTTATGCATGTTCTGGCATGATGCTTGACCTATATCTGAGAGTAAATGAATGATCCAGTGCGTTACCCATATCAGATATCTCTGCCATCTCCTCTCTGCAGAAATGCTCCAGTTTCTCTCTCAGGTGAGAAACAGATTTACCAATATCATCAAAAGAGAGACGAGAACTGACAGTGATGCTGGGTGAGTCTGTAGATCCAGGAGGAACAGAGAGAGACTGGAAACAGACACAAAGACACAATAGAAACACCAGCTAAAGACACAGAAGCATTTGATAGAAACACAATCTCTGAACAACATGCTCTTCCCTTCCTAAAGATCACTGTCCTGTTTGTCAGATCTCTGTTACCTGGAAGAAACGGATGTGATTGTCTGTGTGTGAAAGCTGCTCCAGCTCAGCATCTCTCCTCCTCAGATCTTCAATCTCCTGCCTCAGTTGCTCCAGATGTCCTTCAGATCGACTCACTGCAGCCTTTTCCTGATCTCTGATCAGCTGTGTCACCTCAGAGCAGCTTCTCTCAATGGAGCGGATCAGCTCAGTAAAGATCCTCTCACTGTCCTCCACTGCTGCCTGTGCAGAGCGCTGTTAGGACACACCGAGAGAGAGAAGCATTATAATCAGTACATTCACTCAGCTGTTACTGCTACCTCACACAGCCTGTTCCCCACTGTGGGCTTCAGTGGGACTGAAAGAGCTCCAGCACCGGCTCCTCACTGACTGACTGGAGGAGTGTCCACACTGAGTCTGAAACAGCTCTTCAGCAGCCAGCAGCTGTTCTTCTGCTCAAAACTCACCTTGTGAGACTCTATAATCTCTCTCAGCTCTTCAAGCTCATTCTGTCTCTCCTGGATTCTCTGGCGGAATTTACTCTGTCTCTCATTCAATTGACTCTGTTGGAAAAGTTTGTTGTTCAGCATATGTGTCTGTTAACCAGTAAGTTTGAAAATTTTTAGAAATGGCTGTATTTATTTAGTTTGTTAATCTTACAATTAATTTAAGAATGTAAGTGTTAGTGTTGCTAACTGCTTTTCTGATATTAACCACTATTATTAGATTTTATATAAATATATCAAATTTCCATAGTGCATGATAAACAAAAACTTTTATGGTATATTTTCAAATTAATCATGCTACAATTGTTATGTTTGCATTAGACACATTAATACCTGTTTCTCAGTCCTCTCTGCTGCAGCTGATACAGTCTCATGGTTTTTGTGTTCATCCATTGTACACAAATAACATATACACTGCTGATCAGTACGACAGAAAATCTCCAGCAGTTTCTCATGTTGAGGGCAGATCATCTCCTGCAGTTGTCCAGTGGCATCCATTAGATTGTGTCTCTTACATTTGAAGAGATTCTCATGTTGTTCAAGATGATTTTGACAGTAAGAGTTCAGACACACCAGACAGGACTTGATGGCTTTATATTTTCTCCCAGTACAGACGTCACACTCCACATCTCCAGATGCAACGTAGCACTGAGCAGGACGAGTAGCTTGTAGTTTTGTCTTCTTGAGTTTCTCCAGCACTTCAGCCAGCATGGTGTTTTTACCTAAAACAGGTCTTGGAGTGAAGGTCTGTCTGCACTGAGGGCACCTGTAGACTCCCTTCTGATCATCCTGATCCCAGCAGCCTGTAATACAGCTCATACAGTAACTGTGTCCACAGGGAATGGTCACTGGATCTTTCAGTAGATCAAGACAGATTGAACAGCTGAACTCATCCTGAGCCAAAGAAACACTAGATACTGCCATTTTACTGCAAATACAATAACTCAGACAGTCTAGATCTTAGAAACAGAAATCAACAACAACAGCAAAACTGCTGAATCCCACACCCAGACTAAGAAGGAAGTAGTGATGAGTTTCACTTTCACTGAACTGAAAGTAGGAGTGGCCAAGAGAGGGAGGAAGAGAGGGAAAGCAGGAGAGAGAGAGCTGGTGAGATGAAGGTTTCAACTCAACTATGTCTTTTACACATTTAAAATTATTCCTGCATTCTGTTGAAAGTATGTTTGTGTTAATAGTTGATCTCTCATGTAACATTGCAATCTAACACTCTGCTGCTCTCTGAGCACAAATACTAATGTTGACCCTCAAAATATTTCCTCTCACTGTTTACTAAGTGTCCCTACAATGAGTCTACTGTTAATGATTTTATTGTATTATCACTTCTATTGCATGACAATTTATAAAATAATATTTAATATGCAAATCATGAATAATTGTAGAAGAGTTTGTTGCTTTTATAACTGCTGCATGATTGTCATGTGATAACTTTGTTAAATAATATCCATGATAAATTTTAAATTAAAAGTCTCGTCATCATCTTGCCAATTAGGAAGAGTTTAAAAACATTCAGGTTATTTGGTAGAGTGAACCAGTGACAGTTATGGAAGAAGAATGGAACAGCAGTGACACAAACTTACATTTGAAATTTAAATAAAGGATCTAAATGAGTGTGAGCATCCAGTGGGTTTACAGTTAAGTATCCTAATTTAACACAGGGAACAGGGCAAGTGTGTTACCACTGTGCTTTAAGTAAGTACTCTTAATGGGAGGCTGATAGAGCAGGACTGGCCCTTTCTGTTATTGGTTAAAGTCGGTGTGGTTAAAATAAATGATTAATGGCTTACAGTAAGTCTGTTGAGGCAAAATGAGAAGATCCAGAGATGCAGTGACAGAAGCAACAATATGAAACTCAATTGTCACAATTATTTCTGGAAAACATTACACATATTTGCATTTTTATTTAAGTAAATATCTCTCTAGTGTCACTGTTGAATCCAACATTGTTTAGACATTTAATATTTGAAGACGAAGAGGAACCTGTAAATCCACTCAGTTAATGAAGGAAACACAACAATGCCTCTCATGCTTCTAATTTGTTTTATTTATATTAAACAAGTAAGTAAATTAAGTTACATTACAAGTATTATTTCTGCTGTCGGTGTCAATGATGATATTTCCACATAGTTTCTTCTAGTCTTTCTTTATAAATATTCATTTATCTGATTAAACTAAGATTTACACACAAATAAAGTTTCATGTTATTTCCCTGATAGGAGTTCAGATAGTATATTGATCTGGAAATAAATAAAGAAAAGACTCCACTCGACATTTTTCACTGATTTTACATTGACCTTAAACATGATTCTCTGTACCTTCAATACAGTTCAATTCACACAGTTTTACTTTTGAAACTGATCCAAATTTATAATTGACTCTAAGCCCAGCATAGAGAGGCTGAGTGAATGTGGTGTGGACTCTGTGAATGAGGTTCATTGTGTCAGAGACGCTGTAGAAGGACAGAGTTCCTGCACTGTGATCCACATACACTCCTATTCTAGAGGAGCTGGAGACTACAGGGAGTCTAGTCTTTTTGTTATTGTGCCAGAAAAAACATGTGGAGGGAGAGCAAAATAATCTCCAAGACTGAATGTTGCGTCCAAAAGCACATTCATTTCTCTCTCCCTTCCTGCTGATTCTCTTATATGATACTGATATACCGACCTTACCACTCCACTCAACCTCCCAGTAACGGCGTCCACACACACTCTCTCTACACAACACCTGCTCCACAGTGTCAAATCTGTCTGGATGATCAGGATACGGCTGGACCGTGTCAGTGTATGTAATCACTCTGTTCCCCTCAGACAGACAAATTCTTTTATGCACTGTATTTATTTCCAGAGTGAACTGATGGGAATCTGATGGAAACAAAACAAATAATCTAGAATATAATGAAACATTAAGAGATGCAAGAGTTTTATTTTTATTTCTTATTTTATTCAACTTCAAGATTAACAGAGAAGAATTGTTACTTCATGAAGCTGTCAATCAGATTATAAAGGCGTAAATCAATGTAGTAGTAGCATGTGTGTGTGTGTGTGTGTGTGTGTGTGTAGAGACTTACATTGTAAAAACTCCTCCCTGGACTTGAGCTCAGGTGTGGGAAAGATCTCAATGTATGTTACTGTGGAATATTAATAAAAGTACAGAGAACACTAAATGTACATCTATTTAATATTACATTTTTACTGAGAGTACATAAATGATCCAGTACTTACGTTGACCAGATATCTTCTCTATCTCTTCTCTGCAGAAATGCTCCAGTTTCTCTCTCAGATGAGACACAGATTTACCAATATCATCAAAAGAGAGACGAGAACTGACAGTTATGCTGGGCGTGTCTGTAGATCCAGGAGGAACAGAGAGAGACTGGAAACACTACACAGACACAAAGACACAAGAGAAACACCAGCTAAAGACACAGAAACATTTGATAGAAACACAATCTCTGAACAACATGCTCTTCCCTTCCTAAAGATCACTGTCCTGTTTGTCAGATCTCTGTTACCTGGAAGAAATGGATGTGATGCTCTGTGTGTGAAAGTTGCTCCAGCTCAGCGTCTCTCCTCCTCAGATCTTCAATCTCCTGCTCCAGTTGCTCCAGTTGTCCTTCAGCTCGACTCACTGCAGCCTTTTCCTGATCTCTGATCAGCTGTGTCACCTCAGAGCGGCTTCTCTCAATGGAGCGGATCAGCTCAGTAAAGATCCTCTCACTGTCCTCCACTGCTGCCTGTGCAGAGCACTGTTAGGACACACAGAGAGAGAGAAGCATTAGAATCAGTCCATTCACTCAGCTCTTACTGCTACCTCACACAGCCTGTTCCCCACAGTGGGCTTCAGTGGGACTGAAAGAGCTCCAGCACTGGCTCCTCACTGACTGACTGGAGGAGAGTCCAAACTGAGTCTGAAACAGCTCTTCAGCAGCCAGCAGCTGTTCTTCTGCTCAAAACTCACCTTGTGAGACTCTACAGCCTCTCTCAGCTTCTCAAGCTCCTTCTGTCTCTCCTGGATCCTCTTCTGGAAATTTCTCTGTGTTTTTTCCAACTGTCTCTGTTGGGAAGTTAATGTTACATGTCTATGTGAATCCATATGCTTTCAGACATCAGTCATTATAGTAACAGCAGTGCTATAATCCAGTGGTACTCACTGGTTCTGTGGACCCACTGCTCTACAGATTTTGTATGTCTGCCTTAACTGACATACACAGTTCAGTTCATGGAGCTCTCTCCTTCAAGCTGATGATCTGAATCAGGTGTGTTAAATAAGGAAGACATATAAAATGTGCAGAGCAGTGGGTCCCCAGGACCGGAGTTGGGAATCACTGTAATAATAAAACATATTTTGCATGCATTTGACATTAATTTAAGCATTTTTATTTCATACCTGTTTCTCAGTCCTCTCTGCTGCAACTGATACAGTGTTGTGATTTTTGTGTTCCTCCACCATACACAGCAAACAAATACATTTCTGTTCACTACGACAGAAGATCTCTAGTAGTTTCTCATGTTGAGGGCAGATCATCTCCTGCAGTTGTCCAGTGGCATCCATTAGATTGTGTCCCTTACTTCTGAAGAAAGTCTCATGTTGTTCAAGATGATTTTGACAGTAAGAGTTCAGACACACCAGACAGGACTTGATGGCTTTGTTTTTGTCCCCAGTACAGACGTCACACTCCACATTTCCAGATCCAGCGAAACACTGGTCAGGATGAACAGCTTGGAGTTTTGTCTTCTTGAGTTTCTCCAGCACTTCAGCCAGCATGGTGTTTTTACCTAAAACAGGTCTTGGAGTGAAGGTCTGTCTGCACTGAGGGCAGCTGTAGACTCCCTTCTGATCATCCTGATCCCAGCAGCCTGTAATACAGCTCATACAGTAACTGTGTCCACAGGTAAGCGCCACTGGATCCTTCAGTAGATCCAGACAGATTGAACAGCTGAACTGATCCTGAGCCAAAGAAACACTGGATTCTGCCATTTTAATACACAAAATAGTAACCCACAAAGAGTCTAGTCTAAAATTCAAAGAACGCTGATTCCCACAACAAGAAAATGCAGGAAGTAGGAGTAAGTTTCACTTTTTCCTGAACTGAATGTAGGAGGGGCTGACAGAGCGAAAAGAGAAGGGATTCATTATAATCAGTAGTTGACATTCATTTGAACAACATCAGACACACATACACCTACATTCTGTGTAAATGTGTAATACAAATATTTTGTGTCAGTGTAACACTTTGCTGCCATGTTTGGTGCACAGTGATAACCAGCTCAACTCCTTTTACAACAACACGCTTCTTAACGGCTACAGACAGTTGTTTGTTCTGTTAAATTCTGAATACATTTATGTTCACACAGTCATTGTTTGGGACTGATGAGTAAATTTAATAACAGGCGATGGTGTCAAATTGTTTCCTTCACACAACAGATTATATACATTACCCTAGCCACTGACTGAATAACCAATGTCACACCCCTTTTATATTCAAGTGATAACAGTGAATATCACCTGTAACCATAGTTCATACAGTACATACAGTAAGTGTGTCCACAGGGAATGGCCGCTGGATCCTTCAGTAGATCCAGACAGCTGAACTGATCCTGAGCCAAAGAAACACTGGATTCTGCCATTTTACTGAACATAGACACAGCAGTTCACAGATAGAAACAGTTAAAACACAAAAGAAAAGAAAGACAAAAACCTATTGAATTTCACTGCCAGACTGAGCAGGAGGAAAATAGTTTAGTATTTTATGACAGTGAAGGTAGGTGTGCTGGATGGAATAAAGTTCACACAGGAAGAAATTTATGAGTAACCTTTTCTCTTTCAGATTGTTTTGAGCAGTCTGTGAAGAAGAAGCTCAATTAATGTGTTGGTTATACTACAGATTATCTGCACTTTCTGACATGACAATTTTCATGTTTTATGAAAGTTGTAACTATAAATTACAAAATATATTACTGCATGTTTAACATTACTTAGAAACACCAATGCAGGGATGTTTGTATTGTTTGTAAAAAATTGTGCTTTTGTGTCAGTGTGTCAGTGTAACATTGCCATTTAATTTGGCATCTAATCCAATGAAAATCAGACTAGAGCTCTGCGCGGGCCTCAAAGATAGGCCCTAGCCCGGCCGTCTTGACCCGAGCCCATCTCCCCCCTGATGTCCGACAGCTCATCAGAATTATTGACCCGAGCCCATACTCGGAATTAGCACTCTGCATTTATCCCATATGCAGTGCGCACACACACAGCAGGGAACACACACACCGTGAACACACACCCGGAGCAGCACAGATAGAAACAGTTAAAACACAAAAGAAAAGAAAGACAAAAACCTATTGAATTTCACTGCCAGACTGAGCAGGAGGAAAATAGTTTAGTATTTTATGACAGTGAAGGTAGGTGTGCTGGATGGAATAAAGTTCACACAGGAAGAAATTTATGAGTAACCTTTTCTCTTTCAGATTGTTTTGAGCAGTCTGTGAAGAAGAAGCTCAATTAATGTGTTGGTTATACTACAGATTATCTGCACTTTCTGACATGACAATTTTCATGTTTTATGAAAGTTGTAACTATAAATTACGAAATATATTACTGCATGTTTAACATTACTTAGAAACACCAATGCAGGGATGTTTGTATTGTTTGTAAAAAATTGTGCTTTTGTGTCAGTGTGTCAGTGTAACATTGCCATTTAATTTGGCATCTAATCCAATGAAAATCAGACTAGAGCTCTGCGCGGGCCTCAAAGATAGGCCCTAGCCCGGCCGTCTTGACCCGAGCCCATCTCCCCCCTGATGTCCGACAGCTCATCAGAATTATTGACCCGAGCCCATACTCGGAATTAGCACTCTGCATTTATCCCATATGCAGTGCGCACACACACAGCAGGGAACACACACACCGTGAACACACACCCGGAGCAGTGGGCAGCCATTTTGCTGCGCAGTTGGGGGTTCGGTGCCTTGCTCAAGGACACCTCAGTCGTTGGTATTGAAAGTGGGAGAGAGCATGTACATTCAGTCCCCCCACCTACAATCCCTGCCGGTACGAGACTCGAACCCGCAACCTTTGGGTTACTCTCTAACCATTAGGCCACGTCTTCCCCCTACTGTTTCAGCAATAGTTCAGTTTTGTGTAATGTCAAAGTGATTATATTTCGTTTCGTGTTTTTATTAAGTTAATTTAGAAAAACGTTTGGAACATTTTTTTGTTCGTTAAATGTAAGTTTTTGTAAGGAGCAAGGGCCAGCGGCAGACAGTGAGTTTATCCTGTTTGATCAATTTAGCCTTCTCAAATAATCATTATTTTAATCTCCAACCTGTAATTTATCAGTTTAAATTATTTTTATACAAAGAGTAAATATGAACACCCACAATGAAAAAATATCCTCTACCTTTTCTTTCCTTTGAAAGATGTGCACTTCAGAAGCACAGATTCGGCACATATTGACAATTGGTTTGCAACCAATAAATCAGAACCTAAGAAATGCACAGTATTAATTTTAATGTGACAAACAGACAACTTTAACCACATTTAAGGTTTCAGTTTAATCTTTTCAATTAAGTTGCTACTTATACTGAAGTACTGCAGTTTGGAAGCCAACAATTAAAGAAGTCATGCTTCCATTTTATTGTAGGCCCCAGCCCTCTAGAGAGATGGCAACTTTTTTCTTGCTGCTGTCATCAAGTGCTTGCTAATGAGGGAATGTTGGGTCTCTGCAGTTATGTATGTAGAGGGCCACGAGATAAGTCAGTTTGTGATTTGGTGCTATGTATAATATATATATATATATATATATATATATATAAAATTACAAAAACTCTATACTTAATTGAACGGCCCAATTTCCATTCATCACTTTTATTAATTTGAATACTGAATGTAAAATAACCTGCCAAAATTTACATAACCTCAAAGCCGCAACTTGCGCAAGGATCATAATTTAAAATGAATGAATTTCTGATCTTTGTGTTGTACGGCTTCTGCCATCAGTCAAGGCAAGGGAGGCAGAGTCTCTTTAGAAAAATAAAACTGGATGAGAACGTTATCAATATTACAAAAATAAAACAACGCAAGTATTACAAAATGTGACATTAAAAAGTGTAAAAGTCACTAGTTTTTACAAAATAACTGTCCAACTGCGACACCCGCTGGTAAAGCTAAAAAGAACAGCTGAACATCAGTTGACAAATAAAATATATTGTTTATATTATTACTGTCTTTTGTTATGCTTTTGGAATAAATATGAAAATACGTAAAAACACTAATTTGATAAACAGAATATTACATAGTGTAAAAATACAAAATATAATGCTAAATATATCTATAGAACATTTTAAATTACTACTTTAAAACTAAATAATTCAAATCAAAAACAAAAACTCTTTTTACAGATTTGATAAAATCCGTAAAAATGCATTTCTCTAAAGGCGCGTCCAATGAGGAGATGGCGAGTCAGGATCGTCATCTTTATCTTTGCGACACTGACTCAGAAAACACTAATTTATTAATAAATAATTCAAATATCTCCTTACTATTTCCCCCGACACATTCATGGTAATTACTTTTGCTGGGGCTTTGCTGCAGGCTTTAGCCTATTGCGTGCGCTTTTTGCGCATATGTTTGCAGATTCTGTACTGCACATGACCAACTGACTCACTGTTTGCCGTAGTAATCAAATCAAAACTCTTCCAAAATACAGCTTTCCCCGAAACATTGGGAACTTTTAGTAACTCCCCACGCTCCAACTTCTCCCTGAAGCTCTGCATGGTCAGCTGTCACCACCTGTATGTTAGTGCGTGCGTATATGCGTTGCGTATTGCATAGACTATGTATAATATGCCTATTTATAATATAACCAATATAACAATATTTCATACAGTAGCCTATGTGTGCTCTGCGCGTATATGGGCACAATAAAAGGAGAGAAGCTAAATGAGCCCGAGTCCGACCCGAGCCCGATCTGTAAAAAAAATAAAAAAAATAAAATAAAAATAAAAAGATCCGATCCCGGCTCGATTGGACTCAGCGGGACCCGACGGGCTTGCAGGCCTCTAAATCAGACAAATAATTTTGGAGAGCACTTTTTAAATTCCTAATTTCTTAATTATAGTTTAGTGAGGTTCTCCATCTATAGCCTCACGGTGGCGTCAGTTTACCGTCATACGACCCTCCAGATTCCAAGCGAAGTTCTCACAAGCACCGGCCCGTCAGGAGCGCGTGGGAGTGCGCTTGTGGGAAAGCGTTCGCTCGCGCCGCGGCTCAGGAACGAGGAACTTCGACGCTCAACTGCCCAGCAAGACCAATGAACGTGAAATTCATCATGTTTCTTTCGCCCTAGCTCACGAAACACCTGGAACATTTCTTGAGGTACGTTCATCTGTCGGTAACCTGTAGACATAGAAACAATGATAGGTGTTTAATAGGGTTTTACGGATTTTGTGAACGTGCTAGCTGGTTAGCAGGTAGGAATGAGAGCGAACCTGTTTCCTCAGGTCTACTCACCTCTTTCCAGCGGAGAAAACTATGTATACAGTCTTTAACACTGAATTTCCTGAGAAAATTAAATTTGAACGTTTATTTTGAGACGTTAACCTGTCACACAGGTGAGTTTTAAAGTGTGACACTTATCGTTAACTTAATTTACCTGAGGGAAGGAGTTTCACCTCAGATTAAAGATCTTCCCTTTAGCCTCATTCTTTTTTTTTTACCATTTAATTTTTTTGTAATGCATTTTTTATTATTATTTATTTTGTCAGCTGGATTATGTTTGACTGGGAAAGCTAATTTCGTGACGTTTGACATTGATGTGTCATTGTTTGAAGTGTTTATATGACATAACGATACAGATTTATGTCGTACACGGAGGTAAAATGACAAGGAAATTGTAGTTAACGTTACTCATTGTTTAGGGGGAAATGATCATTATCAATGGCAAATTGTAAAACGGTAGTTTATGTCCTGCCATGCATTTTAACACTTAATTTAAGCGGCCTTAAAGAGTTTAAATCCTGGATTAAAATCTATAGGACAGCACTTTAAAGGGGTCATATGATGCTTTTTTAAAGATAATTATTTTGTGTATTTGGTGTAACAGAATGTTGACATGCTTTAATGTTCAAAAAACACATTATTTTTCAAATACTGTACATTATTGTAGGTCCTCTATGCCCCGCCTCTCTCAAACACTTTTTCTACAAAGTCCCTCCTTCCGACAAGCGCAGTCTGCTCTGATTGGCCAGCTGACCCAGTACATTGTGATTGGCCGAAAGCACTGTCGGAATGTAACGCCCCTTACCATAATCGCCAGCTTCAACTTTCAAAATAAATGTAAAGACAGTAAATAATGTCATTAGTTTTACCATCAGTTCAAGCCCGAAAGGGGAACAGAGTCGCGTGACAGACACAGTGATGAAGCTGCTATGTGTGCAGTACACTTGGTTTCTGAAACCAAGCCTTCTTTCTTTGCGTGCACATTTGGGCGGCATTATGCTAATATTTCCACATAGTGAGGTAGATATGTGGGGGCGTGTTAGAACGAGCCGTTTTAGGGGGGCGTGGCAGAGTCTTAACTTTGATAAAGAATATCTCTTTGGTTTTGAGACTTTAGTCTTTGCAACTTCAGGGATCTTATCTATGCACAATCAGCTTGTAACACTCCAAAGAGAAAGGAAATCGCATCATATGACCCCTTTAAGCTGTCCTCATGTTGACAGGAGGGTATGTAGGCTATGCTAGTGATTGTGTTGTAGATTTGATGAGCTTTCTCTGTGTGGGTGGAGCTTCTGTCACATGCTTTGCTCTTACATTGTCTTGTTAAACTTATTGTGCATTATTTATTCAATTCACTGAAACACTGGCTTTGTGCTTACTGACATTCATTAAAAGTTTTCCCATGACAAATAAAAATACCTTTTTGAATGAAACTTTGTTGTATTCTAGTCCAAAACATGAAAGAAAGCTTTGATATTTCTCCAAATTTCCCAAGGTCATGGGAAACTTGGAAAAGTCATGTGAAAATTAACAAAATCGTTAAAAGGTGTCATATATATATATATAGGAATTATAGATTTGTCTAGTTTTGTATTGGCTAGAAATTGTTTGAAAATTGTTTCCTTATAAAATTATCATTGAAAAAATCATTGGTCAAAAGTTGTAGGAACCTTTTCTTTTCTTTTCTTCATCCCAAAATCCTGTTCTCAGACACTTCGCCGCAGGATTTACTCTTCCTGATGTCATCACTCATTGGATCAGGCTTGTGTTCAGTAAACCAGTGTTTAGTTGCTTAGCTCAGCTGTCTCTGGTTAAGCAGCATGCCGACATGGGCTATCAGTGATTTCTTTTGATGCTGTGCTTAAGTTATGAGGCTGGAAAGACACCTGCACTATCAGACGTCCACAGAAACTTCAGCAGGATTAATAGACTTTTGTCATACATTTTTTTTCTAGACATAAAATCAGATATAGCTATTACAGTTGGCTATTGGCAATGAGCTTTTCCTTGAATATATGACATAAAATGTGCTGTTTAGTGTCTGGTGCTGAAGGAAAACACTAGAATTGTGATTATACAAGCATACAAGTAATGTGACAGAATCCTTTGTAGAGACCACGTGTTTGTTAGCAAAGTCATTGCTGCACTTTTGTGTAACTACTTACTTAGGCTAGATGTTTTAAGTGCCTACATTAAAAACCTTTGGCCCTGGAGATATGAATAATACTTTAGACAGATGAGTTTAGTTTTGTGTAATATTGTCATGTTTATCATAGTTAAATGTGTATGGTGTGTGTTTAAAGGTGTCACCTTTAGAAAATCACTGAAAAGGCCACTGAATCTGCTTTGTATAATTTGTGACCTCATAATTGTGTCTCAATCAGGACGAGTTGCTCAAGTCAAAGACACCTGAGTGTGGATGTTTGCTTTGTGCTGAAGTTCATATACCCTGAATCAAATTCCACTTTGTTTCAAAATCCTGGTTTCTCCATAGTGGTGAATGTTTTGAACTCACAGGAAGGAGTTTTTGCTTCATGTTTTAATTTGTGCACCTTACACATAATACTGTATGTTAAAATGTTATTAGATGAGAATATGAGAAATGAGGCTAAATTTGCAGGTTTATATAGAAAAGGTTTTATGACATCATTCCAGGAAGTTGAAAAACCAACAGCATAAATATTATTTTATTAATATTTAATTTAATTTTAATTTTTACATTTAATTGATCAGTTTTCATTATCTTTTATTTTCATATAGTCAAAGAGGAAACTAATGACATTGCTTGGTCAAGCATAGGGATGCTCCGAACAGGATTTTTGCAGCCGATACGGAGTACCGATTTCTTGTCATGGTGATCGGCCGATATGATGCCGATTCTGATGCTTCAAGCTTTATATAGACGGTTTCATCGGGCGTACGCACCTGGCCCGAAGTTAACTTCCGGTCTGTGTTTGTTTATCAGCCTGGCTATGGCGCCAGCTACAAACACAGTTAAAGTTAAGGTGATGAGCAGACTGAAGTTGTTAATCCACGGGCTGGGTAATAAAAAATGCATTCTGATTATTTGCGGGTGGATAAAATAAATCATAAATTATGCAAATATTAACTATATATTTTTTTAAATAAATGTTTTTCATGAGGCAGACGATTTCGCGTGCGAATTCAGTGACAGAAACAGTGACATTCCAGATAAAGTTTGAAAGGAGTAAAGCCTGTGTTAATGCTATTGAGTAGGCTAATATGGCCAAAGAAGATATTTTGTTTTATAAATAACAGCCCACGATCAGTGTATTATGTTACTGTTATCCCTTACGGCTCCGATGAGGTTTTGTTCCGTCCTCCACGCTGTGACAACTCACAAAATACTATTTTTAGCCAAGCAGCGCGGAGAGCCGCTTCAGAAACGTGCCGCGGCTGGCTCATAAACACAAGCACTGACTAGATCGGCCGCGATCAGCTCCGGTTCCCATGTAGCCGTAACGCGCCGCAGACGCGTGCAGTGAGGCGCAGATCAGCTCTAACGTCACTGAATCTGCTGTTAAAAATGAACCATCTATTTATCATATCATTATGCGAAACATACGCGACAAATAGCAAATTTTTCATTGTTTCTCGAAACGTATCATAGCATTTCCACACCAGCGATGACATGACTGTGGTGCCAATTAATTTATGACGTCATCAAATTGTGATCGGTTCGTGAGATCAGCCGAGTTAGTGAGTACCGATCGAGTCATAAAATGTGATTATCGGTCGATCGATCGGAGCATCCCTGGTCATTTACCATAAAACTGCCTTGACTTTGCAACCGCAGAACATTTCACACACTGATACAGAAGTCATCAATATTTCTGATAAAATGTCCTTTGTCTCTCTCTTTCTCCTTCAGCTGATTTCAAATCAACCCACCCACACCTCACCATGCTCCTCTACTCCTGCTGTTGACCTTTGACAGCGATGGCAGACCGCTCGGTGGCTCCGGGTCAGATGTACATAGAGGTGATGCACGACTATGAGTACAAATCCAAAGACCGTGTGATCATCATTAAACAGGGAGAACGTTACCTGCTTGTGAAGAAGACCAATGAAGACTGGTGGCAGGTGCGCAAGGACGAGGCCAGTAAGGCCTTCTATGTCCCAGCGCAGTATGTGCGGGAGGTGCGACGGGCTCTCATGCCCCCTCCTAAACCTCTCAGTGCAGCAGGCCGAGGGGGGACTGGACCCATTCGACCATCTGGCCTGGAGATCCAGTGGCCAGATGAGAACAAAAAGAGCCCGTGTCCCTCTCCCTCCGGCAATGCTTTACTGCCGCCCAATGATGACAGAGGCAGCCCGGGCAGCCCGACGGCACACGTCCCCCCAACACAAATTAACACTTTACCTGGCTCACTTCCTCGTTCCAGAGCCAAGTCCCCAAGTCGCAATGTAGATGGAGAGAAGGATAAAGATAAAGAGTTGGAGAAGAGCAGTCGTGGACCAGAAAAAGGTGCAATTCATGAAGAGTTTGCCGGAGAGGGAGGTGGCTTGGATAAGAACCAAAATGATTCAGAATCCGCGGATGATCTCAGCAGCGGTTCAACTGATAACCTACAGGTGAGAACCGCTTGTATACCCACTTATTAAAGGTGAAGGATAGTCTCATCATGTCCTTCCGTGCCTCACAATATCTTACCATTTTATCTGGGGCTTGACGGTAAAGAGCAAACTTGTACCAAAACGTTAGCTTACCTGTTGAGAAGAAACTCAAGTTTAGCATCTCGATTGAAACCCAAACATTCCCTCCGATTCCTCCATCTTTAAAAGCACCACCAGTGTTTACCTTGTTTTACGCCTTTGTCTGTCTATGCTTATTTTGGCAAGTGTTCAAATTTTTGCTTGCATTTCTTCAAATGAATCTGAATTTATTTTCCCATGTATCACATCAGCCATGTTGCCACACTGGCTAAACACCGTCTGGCTCAGCTTCCTACAGTAGAAACCCCTCAAACTCTAACTTTTGGTTGAGCTGGAAAGTGACTGATGAATCATAGCGGGCTGCTCTAAATGATTTGATGGTGCCTGGGAGGCTCAATGTTTACACTTTTGGGGGAAATAAACCCATGAATGGTATAGGCCTACTTATAGTAGTCAATGAACAATAAACTTGGTGAAGAGAGTGTATTTTGACCTAAAAAATAGTACAAACTTTAATACAGCGTAGGGCTGCACAATTAATCAAAATTAAATCGCAAAGGCGATAAATCGCGATTAGGCAGAAGCTGCGATTGTCATGCGTATCTTTCAGTGACGCACGGTTTTGTGATCAGCAGTAAATGTCCATCCAAAGCCAGAGGGCGCTCTCTTGCGGAAACTCCAAATAACCCTTGCAGAAGAAACCCAGTTTGTATAGTAAATGCCTATAGCGGTTGCTGAATAAACAGAAGATTTAACTGCTTTCATTAATTCAACGTGACTAATAAACACAGGACTACGACAATATATGGTTTATCCAAGTTCGTCTTATTATAATTTTTATTATAGTAAAGTATATAATAATGCAATGCTAATCGACATCGCCTTTATCACTGCTTAGAATACTATAAAATACGTTGCGTGGCTTATTCTGTGTAAGAAGCCACATCATCTCACAGAAGGATTTATTTCAAACACTCGACTGACTTTATGAAGTGAGTTTGGAGTAAAAACGTTATCAAATGTTGTATTTTTCAGATGGAGCAGCGTTTACTACACAAAGCCATAGTTCACTGACAAGCTACGCAAAAATTAGTCATAATCGCAGACGATTTAATCGCGATTTACTACTAGTCACAGAACCGGCTTTACTGACAAGATGCGCATGACAATCGCATTCGATTAATTGTGCTGCCCTAATACAGCAAATAATTTTCCTAATTCAAAAAGTCTATTTGGACATTCTGCTCTCTTAAGCCCTTTTGAACAATTTAGATCTAGAGTCTAATTAACAAATTTTCTGTTTTTTGAAATGAGATTTGATAGAATCACCTAGACATGTTCATTCTTAAACACATTCCTGTACACCACTGTGTTGGACTCTTGTTTTGCCATAGTTACTCATAATTTTATAAGTCATGGCTCTCTCTCTCACAGTCACACTCCTTCCTTTCCCTCAAGCTCTTAGTTTCGCCATCTCCTCCCACTGTTTTTCTGTCTTTTCCTTCTGTTGTGTCATCACAGCATTTCTGCTAAACAGCAAATATTTGCTTTTGTGTCATCATGGCATGTGTAGGATGGCGTTAATGCTTTGTTTTGAATGCTCTCTCACTCACACAGATACGATATAATTAAAAAAGAATAAAATTTGACAAGGATGCATTAAATTGATAAAAAGAGACGGTAAAGAAATGCTTTTAAACTTCATCTAAGAACCCTGAAAGAATATTTAAATGTTTTCACAAAAAATATTAAGCAGCAGAACTGTTTTCAACATTGATAATAATACAAAATGTTTCAGCATATTAGAATGATTTCTGAAGAATCATGTGACACCGAAGACTGGAGTAATGATGCTGACAATTCAGTTTTGCCAAAATATATTCAAATAGAAAACAGTTAATATTGTGATAATATTTCACAATATTACTGTTTTTACTGTATTTTGTTTATCAAATAAATGCAGCCTTAGTAAGCATAAGAGATTTATTTGAAAAACATTACCAATCCCAAACCTTTAAATGGTAGTGTAGTTTTGTTGTACCTCAATTTAACTTGTTTAGGATTTGTCCCCCTCTGTTTTCACCTGGTTTCTTTGTCAATGTAATGTAAAAATCATGGTGATAGCTGATTAAATGTATCTTCTGTGGTATAAATGGTATAGCAAAATCTCTCTACCAATTTACGAATTTCATGTTCTAAACCGAAGTGTACCGCGGGCGGGACACCCCTCTCTGCACAATATTACTAATCATATTTTTCAAACCACTGCCTTGATCAACAAAAAATGGATATAATTTGAAAGCTCAGAGTCTGAGCTTTGCAGTGCATGTAGCTTTGATTAACTCCAAAGTAGTGCCGAGTTATTTGCTGATAAATGACAAAAAAAAAATCATAATTTACTAAATATTTTTTTTGTGCCATGTACTTTAAATGTCAAAAATATCATACAGCTCAAATAGTCATGTGCCATATCATATGTCATTTCAAAGGTCTCATCGAGTAGAATAAAACAAGCATAATTTTTTGGGGCTTTGAATAAACTGGAGCAAGTTTTTGTACAAAAAGTCACCCCCAGACCCATATTTAAATAATATATTGATGTCACCATTTTACTTGTAACTTCATAAAACATGAGGTCATCATGTGAAATGTGGTCATCATTCATGAAAACATCAGATCGTGGAAAATTAGGCACCATTATTTAGAGCAGATTCTCCTGATTAAAAAGAGCCCAAAACCTATAATCTGACATTTATATCTAAAGATTTTCCTCATGAATTTATAACACACATAAAACTGCACATAATCATATTTTTCAAACCACTGCCTTGATCAACAAAAAATGGATATAATTTGAAAGCTCAGAGTCTGAGCTTTGCAGTGCATGTAGCTTTGATTAACTCCAAAGTAGTGCCGAGTTATTTGCTGATAAATGACAAAAAAAAAATCATAATTTACTAAATATTTTTTTTGTGCCATGTACTTTAAATGTCAAAAATATCATACAGCTCAAATAGTCATGTGCCATATCATATGTCATTTCAAAGGTCTCATCGAGTAGAATAAAACAAGCATAATTTTTTGGGGCTTTGAATAAACTGGAGCAAGTTTTTGTACAAAAAGTCACCCCCAGACCCATATTTAAATAATATATTGATGTCACCATTTTACTTGTAACTTCATAAAACATGAGGTCATCATGTGAAATGTGGTCATCATTCATGAAAACATCAGATCGTGGAAAATTAGGCACCATTATTTAGAGCAGATTCTCCTGATTAAAAAGAGCCCAAAACCTATAATCTGACATTTATATCTAAAGATTTTCCTCATGAATTTATAACACACATAAAACTGCACAGGCAGCATGTAGTTTAGCCAAAAAATCTAAGGTAGCTGTCATGTGACGATTTCGCTCGTAACTTCATAAAACATGCTTATATAATAGAAAATGACACGTCATTATTTGCAGAAAATTCTCCCGATTAAAAAGAGTTACCAAACTCACCAAAATCCATCGTTTAGATCTAAAGATATCTCTCATAAAGCTATAACACATAAAACAGAATTAGGTCATGTAGCTTAGCAAAAAAATCAGAGGTTGCAGTCCTGTGGCGTTTTAGCTCGTAACTTCACCAAACATGCATAGATCTTATGCATATATAATTAGATTTTATGCATATAACTGCGCAACATTATATTCAGAAAATTCTCCTGATTAAAAAGAGCCCAAATTTACCATAATCTGTCAATCAGATCGAAAGATTTCGTTCATAGAACTGTAACACATGCAAAAACATGCATAGATCTTGAAAAACTGCACGTCATTATTTTCAGAACATCCTCCCGATTTAAATGAGCCCAGTTACCATAATCCGTCGATGAGATCCAAAGATATTGCTCATATTGCTATAACACATCAAATCCAATGGGCACGCTTCAGGTGCAGCAGGACAAATAAGTGTAGTCTCACTTTGCGCTTTTATTCATAACTTCATGAGACATGCATATATCATGAAAAATTGCACGTCATTATTTTCAGAAAATTCTCCGTTCATTGGATCTAAATATATTACTTATAATGTTATCACACACATGAAACCATTAAACTGAGAAAAACATAGGTTACGTTTTCATTCATAACTTCATAGATCATGGAAAATAGCACATCATTATTTCCAGAAAATTCTCTCGATTAAAATGAGCTAGTCTTACCATAATCTGTCATTTAGATCTAAAGATATGCGTCATCGAATTATAACACATAAAACTCCAAATGCGCACGTTGCAATATTCTTCATTTCATGAAACATGCTCCGATTGTGGAAAATGACATATCATTATTTACAGCAGATTCTCTCGATTGAAATTAGTCCAAAATCAAAACAATCCATTGCGTCTTTCATGTATAAATAATGCCTAAACCCATGAATTGAAGAAATCAGTTGGAGAGCTCTATTGAACACTTAACAAGCTGAATGAAAAACCTATAATGTTTGTCTATTTTATCTTTTATATAACCTTTTTTTTTAAATAATTAGGTATCATTTTAAAGCGTAGAAATTCAGCTTTCGAATGCATCCAACCATTTTGATCAACTCCTAACCAGTACTGCCTAGTTCCGGTAAAACCGTAGTGTACGGTTTTAAGCATATTTTTTTAAGCATATTTTTAAAAACATCTGCCTTAAAGGGGTCATATGATGAGATTTCAAGTTTTCCTTTCTCTTTGGAGTGTTACAAGCTCTTGGTGCATAAAGAAGATCTGTAAAGTTGCAAAGACTAAAGTCTCAAATCCAAAGAGATATTCTTTATAAAAGTTAAAGAGTCAACCATGCCTACCTAAAACAGCTCGTTCTAACACGCCCCCACATGTCTACGTCACTATGTGGAAATATTAGCATAATGCCGCCCAAACGT